TTCTACCTTATCTCTCCAGAGCTAAATTTAGGATTACATGAAAAACGTATTTTATTTCTGAACATTATTACACTTCTGCAATTGCATATTTAAAAAATGGACTTAAGTCTGGGACAGTTGTTTTTGAAGAATTTATGGTAATGGTAGAATTCTGAGAATGTAGAGGCTGAAAGGAAAATCTTCATAAAGCAGAATAAAGGAAGAAATATCTAGGGCTAGCTTTTCATTTGTGACCCTGCTATGCTTTTGCCTGCTATCTATGAAAACTCTGGGAGCTCTTGACTGAGCTTTATCTACTTGTAGTGAAGTCTCCTGTTTCCTGATATTTTTTTCCCTCTTGTTCATTTTAAGAAGTTTTTATGACGTCAGTGACAAATATGGTTGCATCCATGCATAGCGTAGAGATTAAGAAAATGCAGTGGCTAAAGTCTTTTGCTTGGTGAAGCATTACACCTAAAAAATATGTAATATACCATACTTGATTGCTGGTATCCAACCATAACCAAATGAGGAGAGGAGAGGAGAGGAGAGGAGAGGAGAGGAGAGGAGAGTCATTGAGCACTTGCAGATCAATTATCAAAAGTCTCTTATAAGCCTGCACAGGAATTCTTGAAGCAGTTCAGTATCTCTTCTAAATTGAAATTTAAGTTTACCTCTTTCAACAAGGTCTTTGTGCTATTTCAGTCAGATGTATCTCTTCAAAAGGATTTTCAATGGTTTTCTGCTGATTCTTCGATAGAGGGGTGGTTTTCAACTATGTTCTAATTTCCTAACAGAAAAAGGAGAAAATAATCTAACTATTGCCCTTGTCAGGACTACTACAGAATTTCTGTAGGATTGGAGTCTAATTAATCATATCAAGTTCTTCAGTAAAATTCAGGCATTTTTATATGATTGCCATATCACAAGCATTTTTATCTACTTTCAGTTCATAAATGCAAGCTTTATTCAGTCTGAAACTGTAATATTCAGTAAAATTTTCCCCTGATATGAGTCAAAGATGTCCTAAATGATTTTTGATCCATATTTTACTGTCTTTGCTTCCAATTAAATGATCTGTGAATACTGGCAATTACACTGCATTCCTTTGCCAAATCACTGAAGTATCAGTAAAGGATCATCGTTTAAACAGCTACAAATTAATCACAAAAGCCAACCTTTAACACATCCATACAGCGATTTTAATGTGAAATGGCCCTCTTATGCCTCTTAATTTTTCTTTTTGTGAATTGCAGCTGTATTGCATCACAGGACATTAAACATGTTTCAGCTCATGGGACTGAGTCAGGCATGTTTTTAGAAATTAAAAACAAATGTTGTAATAGGATAAATGATAATATTTGAAGCAATAACACTTTCTTATAGGCATGTCTATTTAATAGATTGCTTAGGTTTTAAAAGTAACAGTATCTTTCAATAGCTGAAGTGATGGAATATTTTTTTTTAAATTCTAAGTTTGACAGTAATACCGAAAGAAGCAAGAGATTCAACAAGTGTAGAATTAATTTGTGAAATTATTCTCATTAGCTGAATTATTATCTTTAGAAGAAAGTAGATACGATTTTTTTTTTTGATGTTCCAGTGGCATATTAGTGAGTATTCGAACTGCATGGCTTCCCAGCAGTGTATGGGTACCATATTAAGAACTCGGTATGAACACAGAAGAGAAGGAGGAACAAGGGATAAAGATAGGATAGTTTCTTTTGCTTATATAGGAAGCTATTGGATTTTGGAGTTAGAAGGTATGTGGGGGCAAAGAGGAAGGAAGGCAAAATATTCATAGCATTGGTTTCATTTTTACCTGGAAACCAGGGTAGTCTGGTAGACGCATGGCTTATTTATAATTGGCAGAGTTGGAATGTCCTGGACATGTTAAGGTATGGAAATATCATGCTGGATAAAATTGGTGAATAATTTTAGCTCCTCTAGCCTTACCACTAAAATGTTGGTGCATAGTAATGGGCTTTGATCTGGTGTCACGATCTTCACAACCTCTGCATAAACCTGTGAACTAGGAAATACCTTTTGTGGTACAGTATGCTAATAACTATTCCTCTTCGAGTTTGCTCATGGGAAGAGTAAGTATATAAATGATAATACAAGACGTGAAGAGAAAAAATGAAAACTGCTTGTTCCAGCTGAAAGTGCAAGCTTTTATCTGGGTTGAAATTTGGCAGTTGTGGTCTGTAGGTACCAGTGAACCTTTTAATGTTTGATCTGAAAAATGACATATCCAGTTATAAACAGGGTGCCAGAACATTAATTCATTAATACATGATAGGAAAGATAACCATATTCTAAGCTTCTGAGAGCATCTGCACTGTCAAACCTTCTTATTTCTCACTTTGTCAGCAGCTGTTAGGCTAATAAAACCTGAATGCAAAAAGGAAGCATTTAAGGAATGGTTTAAAGCTTTTTATAAACCTGTCTGACATACAATTGTGTGCTACTTGTAGTGAATTCTTTCCAATCCAAAAAAAAAAAACAAAACACAATAATGAGACAATTTTTTTAGTTTTTCTCCATTTCTGACCAACATTAAGGTCACTAAGGTTTCCTGGAATGCAAAGCTTCTATTATACAAAGTAAATGAACTCCCATTTAGCTAGGACAGCCATTGTTTCACTAGTCTGTATATTTCCTTTCTCTACAACTCCCATTGATCAATAGCATTGATTGGTAAGTTTTCTTAAGCTCAGTATATTGATTAATTCTTGTCAGAGTGGCATCTAAGAAAGTTAGGATTGATGCATTCAGTCTGTTAGCAGAAGTCCTCAGCTGCTTGAAGGGGATCTGATTCTGGGAAGAGTAACTGGTGGCAAGAACACGTGATTAACAATATATAAATATGGAATCTTAGAAACAAAAGTTACCTCGTGTGAGTTTAAAACGTCTTTCTGCTCTGTACTTCTTTCTGATTTGGTGGTAAATAAATGCAGTTTGGTGGTAACTGGCAAAGATTCTTAAAGCATCATCCAAGAAATAAAGGCTTAACCCTCATTATTGGTTTCAGGATGGACTTATGATATTTAATATCTCATGAAAATATAGAACTGTGAGAAGATCTTGGTTTTTATATAACTGTCCTCTAGAAGCTGGGTTGTAATTTTTATTTCTTTCTATCTCTTTTCAAACAATAGCAGTTTGTTGTGTTCTTAAATATCCTTAACTCAGATAATGTCAGTGTCTTGAGGGTCAATAAACTACTTGTTGCTTACTATACTACCTACTGCATTTCATGTCACTAACTGAAAACAGTTAAACATTTAGAAGGCCAGCAACTAGCATTCATTGTCACAGACAAGATGTGATCCCAGATATAAAAATGATACAAAACCCCCATATATATAATACATGTGCTTTATATAGCTATAGATATGCAAATAGTTGAAACAAAACTTCATCACGTACAGTCATAATACATGGCTATAAAAAGACAGTCATCCATCTGAAGATTTGATTGAGTACTGCTGATGTCCAAACATCTCCATAAAATAATTCCTTTAGAGACTTTAGGAAATAGGACCTCATTTGGCACAGAAGTTGCATATTCAGACCTTCTGTATATTTTCTGGTCTTCTGTATTCTATAGTCTCTGTTATATTCCTTCTATATCATTCCAATTCAGTTATGCCAAATCTGTAATAAAGGATCATGTATACCTAACAGTAATCACATCAAGGTGAGAACTGTAAATCTCCTTTTCCTCTCCTGATTGCATAACATTGTCTTAAAGAGTTGGTAAAGGTAATCCATGCATGTAACACACAACAGCTTTAAGACAGGGAGGGAATGACTGATAATCTCTGAAAGTCTGGCATATTTTGACAGCAGCTAACATAAAAATAATCTGCTGTTATGTAGACCTATTACTGAGACAGGTTTAATTCTTTTAGATTGAACTGAATATTTCATGATCAAGGTTTATTCCTATGCCAAGCTCACAGCTGACCCATGTCGTGTTCTGCCCTCAAGTTGCACCAATGAGAGGAAAGCAACTCCCTAGATCAGAGTTGTTCCTGAGGAATCCCTTACTGTGCAGAGCTGAGAAGTAGTAGTTTCTTTGGCCTCAAAAGGGTTGATGTGACTTTACTTCAGCTCCTGCCAAAGACCAACAACTGACTTCACTCAGAACATGTGAGGAAGCACTAACTTTGCCTCTGCATGAAAAATATTACTCACCCAGTCTGGACATTAATTCAATGCTGTAATTTCAGACTTTGTCTTTAAGCATATTTTAGTCCTTTTGTAATCCATCCTTTAAAATAATGTAATGATGGAGCATCTTGGTCCAGGATCTGGCCATTCTGGATGTTTCTTATATTTTCCTAGAGAAGGAAGGCAGACATTGAAGTGGGCAGCTGGGGATTTCCCCAGCCTGCAGCTATCACTTCTAGCTAGGCATGGCTTTGCATCACAAAGAATAACAGTATGTATGTCCAGGCTAAGTGAAAGAGCAAAGGACAGAAAAACTGTGTTAGTAGGAGCCTCATTGACACAGTTAGGAGAGGAATAGACAGTTTATCTCCAAAGCATGATAGAAATAGGTAAGACATATTTTCTGTAACATTATTGTTTGCCAATAAATTTACCTGTGGAAAGAGAATAACAACAACAGCGTTTAGTGAGTTAGCAATCACGCTACAAATAAAGCTTGAATTCTTAGAGGATTCATCATCTCCAGTAATTTCCATTTTTAAGAACATATATTTCTAGAGCATGTTGCAATATGTTTTATTTCTATTACAGTCAAGTCTGAAACTGCAAGATGCAAAGATCTCATATAAAAGCATTGCACGTTCTCAATTGCTTTTAATGGGTGTTAAAGGAGTTTACTTATTTCAGGGCACCAACCTCTTTCATAAAAACTGATGTTCAAATTCAGAAAAATGTGCTATTCAAATCAGTGTTATGAGACTTTAAAACTTGAATGCCATAAAAGTAAGCACAATGCATGGAATAGTCCTTCATGTTTTCCCTCCTATGTTCATTTTTTTTAGTGCTGGAGTCGGCAGGACTGGCTGTTTCATTGTGATAGATGCCATGTTAGAGAGAATAAAGCATGAAAAGACTGTAGATATTTATGGCCACGTAACTCTAATGAGAGCGCAGAGGAATTACATGGTTCAAACTGAGGACCAATACATCTTTATCCACGATGCACTGCTGGAAGCAGTGACGTGTGGAAATACCGAAGTGCCAGCCAGAAACCTGTATGCATATATCCAGAAGCTGACACAGATAGAAACGGGCGAGAATGTCACAGGAATGGAACTGGAGTTTAAGGTACTTGGATTTTATGTCGTGGGGAACCAAAACCAGATGGTGTAACACTTAATGTTGCTCTGATCTCTATCCATTGTTTCTAGTAATCAAAAAATAAGACATTGGCAGGCTAAAATTTTAAATTAGGAAGGCAATCCTTTGGAAAATGTAAAATTCTATCTTCAATTAGTGATCAGACAAGAACCATTCAGTGAGGACAGTTTAAGCCTGCTGTTCCTTTATTGTTTCAATAGCTTGAAATATGTATTTGTGTAACTGTTTAATTCTCAAATTTGTCCATACACATTAATGGAGCAGACGTTAAACTTTTATACAATATTAAAAGAATCTTTACAGATATTCATTCAAAAATGCAATAGAATATGGAAAAATAAGAATCTGAAATGTAAATTATTCATTAATGGGTAATGAGCAGAGATCATCAAATCTGATAGTGTCATTTGTTTTTGTTATACCTGCGCTTAATTATTTTAATTTATTTTCAACAGCGTCTTGCTAGCTCTAAGGCTCACACTTCAAGATTCATCAGTGCCAATCTTCCATGTAATAAATTCAAAAATCGCCTTGTCAATATTATGCCATATGAGTCTACAAGGGTATGCTTGCAGCCAATCCGAGGAGTAGAAGGCTCTGATTATATTAATGCCAGTTTCATTGATGGATACAGGTACTAATGTTAATGTGTTGTCATTTGGACTGTTTTAAAAGTTTACAAGATTATTTTTGTAGTTGTATTGAAAATAACAAAATTTAGTATTGAAATTTAATATTAAAATTTAATATTGTTTATTATCTGTGCATGCCATGTTTGATTGGGTGGTTCTTTAAATATTAACAAAAGGTTTAAATATTCATCCATAGGAAAATTCTGTAAATGACATAGAGTCTTAAACATTTTATTTTTACCTCCCTTTAAACCTTGAGTAAGTTTTACCTGGTGAAAGTTACTGAGCTTTTAAGCACATTAATGATTCACAACTATTCTGCTTAAAAGCTACATAGAAATAACATACAGGAGATATACGCTCTGTGTCAAGGTGATAACCTATGATCTTGGAACATAGATTAAGACTAGACCTAGCCCACAAAAGCATTTTATACATAAGCAGTTGTGTAGCCCACCAGCATCTTTATGACAACACGGGGCAATACACTCTCAGCTGACTTAAGCAACTGGTAGAAAAAGGCATGAAGGACAACTGGTATAGTTTCCCTAAGGCAGTTTAGCTGTACCTGAGTATCTGTATCCACACAGATCATTTTCTGAGCCTCTGCTCATAATTGGAAACAACCTCTATCTCCACTGTTAACCCAAAAAAAGTGTTTCTGTTGATTGAAAGGAGCAAGAGCAACATGAATTGGTCATCATCTTATAAAGCTGCTGAGCCAGAAGCTTTTAACAGCTTGGTGGTAGCTTCCACTAGTAGGATATTTAGGTCTGGAAATGTAATGCACTCCATTCCTGAATTTTCTTCCTGCCTTACTTGTGCAGAAGGCATCAGACTGTTGAAAAGGAGTTAATAAAGAAACTGCTTGATGCTATAATTCCTAAAGTTAATAGATTGTTAGACAGTTATTTCTACAAAATGAACCAGCACAACTAAGTGTTTCTTAAGTGCTTTTTACAGCACACAAAATTGAGCTATTAGCTGCATTAAAATTTAAATAATAATGATAAAGACACACATCATAATATTAACAGAGTGATTTCCCTCTCAAAGTTCTAAAAATAAAAAAACATAGTTTGAATAAACAATCACAGTAAGTTTTTAATGTGCTTATTAATAACACTATATATTTTTTTCCTCTAGATAGTGTTTACTTAAAACAGAACATTTGAATCAGTTCACTTTTTTATTAAAATATTTTCTTAACTTACTTTTTTTATAGACAACAAAAAGCTTACATAGCTACACAGGGTCCTTTAGCAGAAACAACTGAAGACTTCTGGAGAATGCTCTGGGAGCATAATTCTACAATTGTGGTCATGCTCACTAAGCTACGAGAAATGGGCAGAGTAAGTACTGCTGTAATATTCCTTTACTAAAATGTTAGTTATAATAATTTTTTATTAACTTATTTAATTGTTATAGGAAAGTCTAAAGATAAAGATCAGGATTTGGGTTACTTCTGCTTTTGTAATATTGGTGGCATAGTTATTCACCATGTGTAAGGTTTTTCAATCTGTAGGTGTGTTGCAATTGACAAGCTAGACATGGCATTATGTTGTGGGAACACTGAGATTCAGCAACTGAGTTTGCCTGTTGACATTCTGAAGTACACAGAGAGAGCATTGCTGTCTATCCAAAAATGAAAATTTCTTATTTGGAAACTTCACTTTTCCAGTGTCTGTTTTAACAAAAAAGTGCAGTAGTTTTGAGATCTCAATGTCTTCTATGTGTTCATAGTGCTGAACTTTCAAGTTTCAGCACCCAGTTTGCATCCTAAACTCATTCAAGCACTGCTTTGTGAAATGGATAGAATGAAGCAGTTTACTTTTTGGACAGGATTACATCAAGATAAAACGGGTATGTGATAAGTGAAATCTGAGTCAGCCCATGTATCTGAGGAATAGAGATGATTCAGGGTATGGCTCGTGGATGCAGAAGTAGATTCTTGACTGAGACCGGGAGGACTTCTTTCAGCAGGGAAGAAGAAAGAACACTGAAGGTGGCCTCAAGATTTCAATTGTATTCTGTATTGAAAATTAGGCTCAGGATAGCTCTTGTCACTGATAAATAATAGAACTGAGCAGAAGTTTAAATGAGTTCAGAGATACAATGACCAGAGAGAACCCATTTGCAATGCAGTATTGAAGATAATTTTTTATTCTAGGTATGGAACTCTATGTTCACAGCAAGACAAACACTTCTTTTTCCTGTCACTAATGACACTTTCCATGAGTATTACACTTATCTGAGTTAAAATGGTTCTATACCATTTCATGGTAGTGGTCTTGAGTAACCGGAAATGTATTTTGCTTTGTTATTTTGTAGGAAAAATGCCACCAGTACTGGCCTGCAGAGCGCTCAGCCAGATATCAGTATTTTGTGGTAGATCCAATGGCAGAGTACAACATGCCACAGTATATTCTGAGGGAATTCAAGGTTACAGATGCAAGGGTAAGTTAACATAGCATTATGCTAGTCCACATAAGTTTAAAAGAAAATATCATTTTCCTTCTTTTCCTCTTCTTTTTTTTTTAATTGTTATTATTATTAGAAAAACACTAGGGGTGTAATTTCTACAAGCAGTAAACAAAAAATAGATAAAGTTATTCTTAACGGAATGGGATCTTTGTGTAAGAACCGTTTACTTCATTCAGATCTAATATCTGGGCAGCACAACTTTGTAAAGGTCTGAATAACTATTTTTACCACAAAACATTGTTGTTTTTTATCACCTAAAAATGTATGATTTGAGGACCATTCTCCCTTTTTTCCTCATTTCCCCCTTGATCATTTGTGTGGGCAATTTTTGTCACTTACAGCTGTAAATACGTTTTTTTCACCAGCCTTTAGCCTGAGGGAGTATGAAAATTAATACACTGAGCTTTAAAAACTGCAAAGCAAATAACATTCGTAAAAAAAGCTTTACAAGCTTTACACATTGTAATTTAATTTTTTGCATAGCATATTTTCAGCACTCCTATATATCTGCAGAGTAAATACATGCAGATGTGACCCTAGCATCCTCATTTTCATACTGCATTTCTTATCTGAATTTCAGTCCAAAACTGAGCACTGATACAAGATCAAATGAATATAAACTTTAAATATATATGTGGCATTTCTTAGACGTTTTGATTTCTAGCATTTTAGTCTGCATAGCAGGAAAAATTACTGACAGCCTCCATTTCTGTAAGCGCTGTAGAATACTACTTTTCAGGCAAAATAGCAGGAGGTACTGTCCAGGAATAACATGAGTGATTATTCAGAATTGCCAGTCAGCATCCAAAATATTAGACTTTCTCACAGTTAGCAAGACAGCTTCTTTTAATGTTAGCTTCAACTAAAATTAGGTGCTACTGACAATTAGCTGGGCAGTATTGTCACTAACCAAGTCAGCATATGAATATTTTAATTTGGCAAATGACACGTGTGTGTTTGGAATCTAATGAGGATCACATGACTCATAGCTTCTTTAACCTATTTGTGCTTAAAAAAACTGGAGAAGAGCAGGCTCATAACTTCAGTCTTCAACCACACTTGTAAACATAGACAGGCAAAGCCAATTTTGCCACAACTGTGCTGATAGTTTTCATAGATCACCTATTAAAGATCTCTTAAATCTCAAGCTGGAAGAGTCTTATGCGACAGAGTTCACCAAGCTCAGATCACAAAATAACAATGATAACAAAAGCCACATACATGGTTGAAGTGTCTACAAACAGTATGTATTTCCAAAAAGTTCTTTCAAGAGTTTATCATGAACTAGGATATTTATGAAAGTCTGTTTACTATATCTAACAAACAAGTAAAAAGTCTGAAAGGGTCAAATAACTTAATTTTTTAGAAGTAGTTTTATTGGACTTGATAGTAACACACCTGTTTTTAAAAGTGCCAAGCATAGGTGCTCATTGGCAGTCCTGTTGTGACATTTTACCATCACATCATTGCTTTTCAAATTTTAAAAATCTCTTTATGTTGATGGTCCAAATTTTGTCAAACAATGCACTGACAAGCTCACAGGGCCATCTTAAATTTTGTAGATGTGCTGGGAAACTGTAGTTCCTTCCAAATTTACTGAAAGTGATGGGTACTACTTACCAAAATATGCATTATAATTTTCCTGTAGTTAGGCTTTTATGGTTGTCATACTGAGTAATTGAGATCATCTAACTAAATTGTTGTATTGTATTTTTGAGTACAATTTGAGTACAATTGAAGAGTAAATGCTGCAGTGGTTGTAACCAACCTCTCTGCCTCTTACCTCCAAAGCCATCTGTAATGTTAGAGTACCATTTGTGCTCTGGTAGATCCAAGCCAGCCAATTATTCTCGAGGGACAAGAAAAGAAGCACACTGCCTTTGTAGGTGTCAGCAGCAAGTATGTGTGTAGAACTGTTATTTCTGAAACTGAGCTGTGAATTGTTGTAAGGTGAAATTGACCTCTGTAAGTCTTTCAATATACTACTTCAGACTGCTTTTATACTCACTTTCTCTGTAAACTCCAGAGGTCAATACGATGGGGCAGTGTCATTTAAGGCTAAACTATTAGTGATGGCTGTAAGAGCATATTATAAATTCTACAGCCTTATCAAAAGACAATTGAATATCCCCTGTGAGGAGCAAGAAGAAATCCAAACAGTCAGTCGATCAATAGGATGATACGTTAAAAGCCCTCTGCTCCACATAGGGATCTGGAAGTTCACATTTTGATAACTAACTGTGCAAACTGTCACAATATTTGAAAGTAAAGATTTTAATAAAATTTGGCATTTGTATTGGGACTGCTGTTGGCAAGCATCTTCTTAAAAGAAAGCAGCACTGCTTATAATGTCAGTAGCAGAGGGAACTGTGTAAGAAATTGCAGTTCAGTTCCCAATATGCTTTAATGCTAGTCTAACATCAGACTAACTAATTTTACTTCGATACTAATATTAGCATTAAATAGCAGGAGATGCTGCTATTAAAACTAGAGAAGAACAGTCTCCATAGACTTGCACTGGATTACTGAGTTTTTATGATCATGAAATACACCAATACAGTTATTTTAGACACAAATGAAAAGCAAGTATTTTGCCCTCAAGTCTATTTTGCATATGGAAATTTGTGGTCTTTCCAATGAGAGCCTAGATTTAAGTAAAGCATCATCTTTCTCATCTTTTCTACCCCTAAAAAGTTACTGTTATTCTAGCATAATTCCTATCAGGGTCAGAAATTGCTGAAGATCTTCCATCTCCTTAACCAGTATGTTGCAAGTGGTTCAGACTTAAGGTTTTCTTTCTTTAATTTAGAAGAATGGTAGGTTATTTTCTCTTCTTGATTAATTAATCTCATGTGCCTAAGGCTATCTGAAGGATGCAATTTCATTATGTCTTCTTCAGGGAAAATGGGATCACAGAGACCATTATGAGAGAAGTCTGCATTAACAGAATGCCATTTTAGTAGGAAATATTTAGTTATTTGTGTTGATGCCCACAAGAAATAAAACAGGGTAAATGTTTTTTAACAGTTGTTTTTTTTTTAAGTGGGCAAAAAAAATCCGCAGATATAGACTACTAAATACATGATACTACTAAATACAGCCACAGTTGTGTATGTGTGTCCTCGCATGGAGCAGTGGCTGGCACACACACCTCTTGTGTTTTCTTTTCTCACCTGAGACATGGGGGTCTCCCATGTTACATGGAGGGTACCCCACAGTACCAGAGGAAACATAAAAGCAAAGTATTGGTTTTTCCCTTGGTTATTATTTAAATCACTTCTATTTCATTTCAAAGGTCTCTAATAGCTGAGTGCTTGACAGGGGTGGGGGGATAGAAAAAGATTGTTCTTTGCCTCCAGCATAACTTGTTGCTTTTTGGGGCAGTCTCCTAGACTAATTTCCATTTTTCACTTAGAAGAGGACCATTTTGAAATCATGGCATGGTGGGTGCTTAGGAAACAACATATCCAGAGGCACATCAGTACATATCAGTAGCTCATGTACCCATGCTTTTATGCCCATATTTTTAAGCGTTTCAGCTGTGCAGATTGACAGTGTCAAAATCATCAAAAACAATGTTTGAAAATTCAGAACAAATTTACTTCATCCATTTATATTTTTTCTGTTTATGTGTCCTGACGATTTACACATTAAATAGACACATAGCAGAATTTGGCATTTAATACTTCCAATGGCTTCATTCTAAAAATAACTATCCCATGGTATTCTGTAGTTTTAAACAATCCTGTTACTATTTCTAACCAAAGGGAATAGCTTCAGCCAACTTTTTTGAGAGAGGAAGCTTTGCTTCTTGATTTTTTGACAGAGTCCAAGCTGTTAGTGAATGAAATTACGATGACTGAAGAGACATTTATGGTTTGTTCAACAACTGGCTTGTCTTGATGCATCTTCTTCCAGGCAAATCTCCCCCTCATAAAAAGCACCACACTATTAAAGATATCACCTGAAAAGAGGGCAATGACTAAGCAGCTCTTACCAGTGAAGATATTCCTGCAGTAGATGAACATATCTATGAAACAGAAAGTCATATTGGATGACCTTACTCTTCCTGTTCTATATTTAAAGGAATTTACAGTCCGCAGGATTCAAAACTTAAACTTACAAAAAAATTTTATAAGCTGGTGAGATTATTATGGCTTTAGCCTCAGACATGCTTTTTTGCACAGGCAGAATGTCAGACAGCTCTGCTTTCCGATGCGGAAGGGAAACTATGCAATGTTGTTAAGAAATGTGCACTTCTGGGCCAATGTGTCCAAAAGCACTAGCCAGTACTGCGACTGAAAGAGTCTTCATAAAGTGATCTTAGCCCACCTCTTCTCAATATAGTTGTTTTGTGATTGTCTTTCTGGTTGTTGACTGATTGACTTCCAACCACTGTAACATGCTTTTGGGGTACATTGTTTGTGTCTTTTGTTAAAGGATGGCCAGTCCCGAACAGTGAGGCAGTTCCAGTTCACTGACTGGCCAGAACAAGGAGTGCCAAAGTCTGGAGAAGGATTTATTGACTTTATAGGCCAAGTGCACAAAACAAAAGAGCAGTTTGGTCAGGATGGACCAATTTCTGTGCATTGCAGGTAAGTAAGCAAAGCCTCAAAACGACTCATATGCAGATTTGTTTTTTTCTGAAGTTGATTGCTGATTGCAATGTAAATGTAAATTTCATAAGTGAACTGCCAGGAAATATAATCAAATAGAACATCTGAAAAGGAATATATAAGACTGTTTTACGAAGTGGGAACTGTTCTGTGATATCCCACTTACACAGAAAAGGTTCTTCTGGAATACGTGGAGGCAAATGATTTTTATTTCACTTTAAAATGTCTCTAATGCAATCTGGGCAATGCTACATACAGCTGCAGGAATAGCCTTATCACAGCCTGCCAGATCTGATAATTTTTTCCACTGGTAATTAAAAGTGAAGCTGTTGCATTGCCTGGAATTATTTGCTGTAACCAAGGTAGTTACACCTCAGTAGCACATTAGTAGTAATCAAGATGAGACAAATAAAAATGGTAGTTATCTCAAGAAAGGGAATGGAATAGAAAGCGCCTGTCAAAAAATTATTGAGGTTTAAATTGGTGAGTTCTAACTTTAGAATGTAGTGCCTATTTTTTTATGTGATGACTTCCCTTAGTTCTTTTACCATTGATATGCAGATGAAAACAACTTGTAGGTTGTGTAGGAATAATCCATGGAGGGCTTTTGTAATATTCTTGTATTTTTTAATTTATTTTCTTTACGGCATTCTAGAGTCTATAGCAGATGGCCAAAAATAATATCTTTATCTTTTATCTCTTATTTAATAAATTGTTTTCTATAAATTCCATTAGGATTTTAGATACTCATTTTTGCAACATTAAATTATTTTTTTGCTAGATTAAATGTTATTATTTATATAACAGAGATGCAAAATTCTGATACAGGTTCCAAGTCCTTCCTGCAAGCCAAGTAATACCCCAATACTAGCATGAAGACAAAATGAACAAGTTTACTAGAGCATATGAATGTACGGAGGGAGAAACATTCTTGTCCTTCCGAAATGAGGAGCAACCAGAAGTTGTTAAAATACCAGTGTGTTTTGACAGAGTTCTTTATGCTCCCCTAATCTGAAAGACTGACAAAATAAATGTGTTTGGCTATTTGAATCCTACTTCTTTTGGGTGCCTAAAAATTTTTATGACCTGCTAGGGAGAACAGCATTGCAGAGCAGTGTTTGGGATTCATTTAGCAAGGGAAAATGAAGGACAACCATGATAAAAACAAGCCTTATTCTTCCTGACATTAATGAGTTTTGAGAGCAGAGGAGTAATAAGCAATATTTATGCCTTTATGCAGACATACATAAGAAAGAAAAGAGATGTTTTTCTTCTAAGTTCTTTGTACCATGCAAACTTGTCTACTTGTGACTGCAATGAAATACTGCTTGCAGTAGGTTATGCATCCCTTCCAAATGGGTATGATCTTTCATGCTGAAGTTATGGAGATTTCTACCACTGACTTTGGTAGAAAGTCAAATCCAGTATAGTTCATCATGGTTAGGTCATTAAAGGTCTTATCATCGTTGTAATGACAGTTTAGACATTGGTAATGCTAATCACCATTATCAGAGTTAGTCAATTTACAAGAATAGGAATTGTTCCCAGCAAATCAGTAAGCTTATTTATTTATTTCAGGAAGCACAAGATCCTGAGTACCTGCACTTTCCTAGTATTTGTGTAATTATTGTAGTAATGCCTCCAGTTTGTACCATGATGAGTTTTTAAGGATTTCTCTTGTACAGAGAAAATTCTTTAAATGACAGACTCTCCTAGTGCCGCATCCCTGTGGTTTCCTTCCCACTCTAAACGTTTTTCACAGGTTTGCTTTCCCTTTTACACAGTAAACCACTGTCATCCACAATTTTAAAATGTTCTTCTCTGCCTTTTTTACAGATAGATTAGCATGTTACAATTTAAAAATTTATAACATGATCAGGCAGCTAATTAAAAAATAGTTAAAAGAGCAAAGGACTGTTCAGCTTCAAGGAAGATTTTTGCCTCAAGCAATTTTAGATATTTATAGTCTTGTTATTTTAGCTTTTATTTGAAGAATAAGGAAGACCACCATTTCGAAGAATGCATTCAAGATGTATTTTGACCAACAAACTCTTCTCTCTTACAAAAACATCAATACTCCCTTATGGGTCAATAAAGTATCCTAACTTTGGTTTCTAATTGTTCAAACCTTGGTGAATCATACTACATCATGAAGTAGTCCTGTCACCATTTCTTAAACTCAGAATTCTTTAAAACCTGTCACATTGCTTTGTTAAATGCTGCAGTATGAGCTGATAATTAAAATGCCACTATTACTGATACAGATTTCCGTCATTCTTAAGCACCTTCTAATGCGAATTGTTACAATGTTAAAATAGGCTTGCCACTTTCGGGGAAACAGGGTCAGTTTCCTATAGACTTTCCCAAAATATTACTCTTGATGGATAGTTAGGATTTGCAAGTTTTGAGATCTTTCTGTATTAGTCTGTCTTTCTCAGTAAGTACCTTCTCCAGATACTTTTTAATTTCTTAAGAATGCAATACAACAAACTAATTCCCTCCTATTGCTAAATTAAAGAGTTCTGAGTAGGTTTTTTTTTAATTAATAAAGATTGGGTTAATGCATGAGGCTAGAACTCCTCACAAGTATTTAGAAAATCATAGTTTTTTGTTCATATCTTTAAATGATTGAGCAGGAGCAAGGAGAATGGAAAATGCTAATCTGCCTTAGTGACCAGTGCCTGGTCACTTTCTGGACTATTTGGTTTAAGTAACACTGTTGTCAGCTCTATAAAGTCCAAGCAGGTTCCAAAGCTATATTTTGAGGATATTTTCAGCATGTTTCTTAAGTTTTAGCTTTCTAATTTACCTCATCATAGAAAGGAGACCTTACACTCCAGTTGCTCTGTACATCCAGGACCGTTGTCATCAGGTATAGGTAAACCAGCACTGAGAGCATGATATTTTGTCAAGTTGTTTCTCAATTGTCCTTTTGCTTCAGCTCTCCAGAGGCACACAGGTTGCACAAAATGGCCAAATGCAGTTGCATATATTTAGTAGCCCTAAAAGGGCACTGATCTAGACCAAACACTAAAATACCATTGTGCAATTTGGACACTTGATTTCTGCACTAGCGTTGTGAATTCACTGGATCTCTTTCATAGTCCATATCAACATTCAGAGTTCTTCAGTGTTTCCATGTTGTTCATTTTCTTCCACTCTCCTGTCTGGTGAATAGGTGTCATAAATCTCCAGCTTCCCAAGTTTACTTGACTGGAGAAAACCTGGTGAAATTATTAACATTAACAGTGAAATGATGGGGTGCTTAATCTCCACCCATTCAAGTTCATGCTTGGAAAATCTTTTTTATGTGTAGTTACCTGTCTCTATGTCCAAGAATCATCCTCACTAGAAAGTGATTGTTTAACTTTAATAACTGACAACTATTGGCTCTGTTGATTACAGAAGTTTCTATCTGGGGTTTCTTGGGGGTTTTAATTAATAACAGAAACCCAAGACAAAGCAAAGAGCAACCTATACATTCAAAGACGACATTTCAGACCGATATAGAGAGACATGGTGCACATATATCAGTATTGGAAAGCTAAAGATCCAGACTGCCAGACTTGAATAAAAGCTGTGTCTTAAGGTTTTTGTGTATTTTTCACTTAAGTTGTAGCATGTATGAACAATTTAAATATATTAGTTGAAAATCCACTGACTATCTCTAACTCAGAGTAGAAGGTAAACTAACACGCTATGCGCAAAACAGGGCATATACATAAGTGAGCTAAAGTAAAGCAAGCAGTAAAATACGTTTTGGCATCTTTTTCTCTTCTCAATTTCAGCATAGGTCATTGGCAACAAATACTGTCATTTTCCTTCACCATGCACTGATTACTGTATATCTGGATGAACAAACCAAGTCACTTTGCAGTGGAGACTGGAGAGTCAGGAAGTACTTAGTAGCATGTTAAGTTTGCTTGAGCGCAATTATTCTTCCAAATGCAATGTGGTAATTTCCTGTGGAATTTTGCTTAGTGAGCCTTTCCTTCTGTAGAAGTCTGTACCCATATGGTGTGCTGTAACCACAGATAATTTGTCAGCCAATTCTTTCAGCATTAACTGTCAATTAACGTTCCTTTTTTTCTTTCTTATTTTTTTTTCTTTTATTGCAACAGTGCGGGTGTTGGAAGGACTGGAGTATTCATAACCCTGAGTATTGTGTTAGAAAGAATGAGATATGAAGGTGTTGTAGATATCTTCCAGACTGTCAAAATGTTAAGGACACAGCGGCCAGCCATGGTACAGACAGAGGTAAGCAAAACAGGCTCCATATGCAATGGTGATCGAAAAGAAAGAGTATTTCCACAGCCAAATATTGCACAGAGACTGTATGAAATGTACTTACATTTATATCTGAAGTCATATAGTGGCTATATCACTGCAGTGTAAACTCTGCCATAAAAGTACTGCAAGGACTATTTCCTGTTACAGCAATAGATGCTGCAGGTTGGGGAATAAAAAAATTATTTCAGTAGTAGATCCTAAATTATGGCAGTTGAAGAAAACCATTTTCCAAGAAACATTACTGGTTAATTGAAACTTTGTTTCCTGACCAAAATGTCTGGCAATAAAGAAGGAGGCAAGTTATTTCTGAGGGTGAATCCACTGATTTTTTTTGTTCCGGGATCAAAGTGTTGTTCGTGGCTTCAAACTGACACTGTATTATTTACATGGTTTTCTTGACTTTGTGTCACCAAGCAAGTGGTGTTTGGCCTGTTTCAGGCCTGTTTGGCCTGACAAGCATAATGTATATTCAGCATTCAGGAAGACTATATTGTAAATATTTTCTGTGCCAGCTAGAGTGCCACAGAGAAATAAGAAAAGGGATAACCATTATCAACTGATTTCCTGGGCCTGACTGGAACTGTGCCATGTCATAAAGAATACTTCAACATTTTCAGTTGTGCTTAGTTCCTACTTAAATTTCTGAACAAAGCCAGAGCCTATAGGGTAGGAGAACAAAGCAAAAGAGCAAGGGAAGGGAAACATTTTAGATCATACATTTATTTAGTATAATTTGATTGACACTGGCCTTTAAATTATGGTCTGTGAAATCTAAAGTGGTTCCCCAGAGTTTGCCATTTTCCACACAAAAATCAAACCAGACAATAAAAGCTCGATAGTCTTATTTTTAAGAAGGCAACTTCATAAAAACGTATATGAAAAATAAAGATACTTGTTTTTAATCTTATCAGTTAGCCAAGCAAATCACTTTGACCAAACTGAAGAGTTAATTCCATTTCTTTTTCATTACCATCATTCTTCTGGATAAGCAAAATGAAAAATGCCTTTCTGTCATTTTGATTCCAAAAAATAACTACAGTACACAGAAAAACTATGCTTCCTGGAGCCTACCTGACAAATACAGAGTAGAGTTATGCAATATATTCTCCCTCCTCATATTTTGACTTATTTCATGTATATTGCCCTTCATCCCCCCTGCTGGAAGTAGAAGTGTTTCGTACTCATTTCTTTCAGGATCCTGTGGAAAACAAATTTCTCATTCAGTAGTATTAACTGCCAGGAAATGTAATCCTTATTCGACAAAGCACTTGAATTCCATGTGGACCACACATACACTTAAAATTTATACATATGTCTAATGCATTCTCCCACTGTTCCAACAGGAAGTAGAAGGGAGCTATTAACGATCACACCACTACGTTGAGGCAAATATATGACGAGTTTTCTGGTCTCCAAAAGAAATTTGATGGTGATCTGAACAAGTATAACCTGTGTGGGGTTACCACATAGCACTATCAGATAAATAAGCAGATATTTTAGATGGCTTTCAGAAGCAATTTATCTTTTCTTTTTATTTTTATTTTTTAACATTTAAACCCTGAGTGGCAGTTGCAAATGGGTACACAGATGCGCCATTTTAGTGTAAATGTGCAATATGACATAAATGTGCAAAAGGACTGCTGTGGGGGGGTGACATTAACATGCAATGCCAAATGCTGGATTCACCAGAGGTAAAAGCAAATCTCTCACCACACTGAACTTCTCCCTGCTTCCAGGTGTAGGTTGAAATGAAATCTGTTTCATGTTAATAAGGTGCTTTAGCTGCATATTTCTCTCTTAGGCCCTTTTTTTGCCACAGGCTGAGATAACTTCACATCTTCATCAAAGCCTATATTACTGAAAGGTTTGGATTCCCTTTGCTTCCTTAACATGATTTTTAACCTGGTGGTTTTCCATACAGCATTCCATATTAAGGCTGTGATGGATTTTGTCACTTAGTGTGTTGTATTTGCTGTAGAGTTAATTGGATATTTTACTAATTATTTTCAAATACGTGAGGGGAAAGCATCTTAGCATGCTCCCGTAAGAGGAAAGCTTTATGCTGATTTTGTATTAATCCAGAGTAACAAATGGTCAATAGGTAGGTATATATGCTCTGCACAAAAAAAGAAGCTGCATTCTCTGGAAAATTTTATTACATAAAATGAGTGTCTATCTTCATCTGTTGTGTCTCAGACTGGATTTCTGTTGATGTCAGCACAAGATAATTTTCCTGAACTGCAGATGCCTCTGTGGTACATTTGTCTGTAGCCAAAAAGTATTCCCTCTTAGTTGAAAGAAAATAGGAACCAACCAACAAGATGGCTTTTTGATGCTTTTGTTTTCTATCTTTCTTTCTCCAGGATCAATACCAATTCTGCTATCGAGCCGCACTGGAATATCTGGGCAGCTTTGATCACTATGCAACATAAAAACCCATCGTGGATTTTTATTGCAGGCCCTTTAAGATCCAGAGAGCCGCTTCTGAGCCATACAATGTGCTTTAGAAGTACTTCTTAACTCTTAGCTAAGGAGCAATTATTGGGGATATATAAAATAAAAAACAAAAGAACAAAACTAATGGGGATACATAAAACAACAACAACAACAACAACAAACAACAACAACAAACTATTCCATGTGGACCAAGAATTCACAGTTTAATAACCTAACCATAATAAAAGAACCCTGACCACTGAGGCGTCTGAAGGATCTCATTTACAGATACCTCAAGGGTTTGACATTGGTTGAAGTTAAAAGGAAGAGGAAAATAATCATAAAGAATGATCTCTTGTTCAGGATTTCATGCTTTTGCAAAGAGGAATTTTGAGAGAACTGCGTTTCAGTGCAAGATGTTTGTTAAACTATTTGGTCCTGGCTTCTCAAATAAAGCAGACTCTCGACTTCAACATCACCCCTTCCCATCATACTGCTCATCATAACACTTTAGGGAAAATGTGGGAATGATTAAAAAGGAAGTCCTTGATTTAGTTTTTTAGTATTGTAAAGATACTGCTGACCTGTGCTTCATTTTTAACTGTGTAAACTTTTTTCCTTTTTTTAACAAGAGTTTATCAATCATTGAAGTGAATTAAAGAAAAGGTTGCATAACTGGTAATCTTTTTGTTTAAAAACTGTAGATTTTTTTTAAGCTGTAGAACTGTTATCTGTAATATTGTGCTGTAGAAATGTTAAATAATTTCAAAATTTGCACATTTTTGTGCAGTCCTATATTTATCTACAGTACCACCGTCTTGTTAGATACTACTCTTGCAATTTTGTTTGTTTTCTTTTTCTTTAAGAAAATATCCATTGTAATCAGTTAAATCAAAATGGGGCTTTTTTGGTTTCTTTTGGAATCAACAGGGAGGCGCAAAGTATAAAGACGCTGCTAACACACACACGCATGCACACATATGCACATGCACACCCACACCCTCGCTCTCTGTCTATATATATATTAGTATATGTACATATTACTGTCTACCCTCGTCTAACTCTCTGATTGGTAACAGAGATGCAGATGGGTAGATATTCACACACCTACACATAAATATATATCAATTCTTCCATATCTGGACTTATCAAAGCATTGGGAAAGTTTTCCAGCATACTACAATTACATTAGACTACTATTTGATCATCTCTGCATTTCCAAGGTCCATAACCTTCTATTGCAAAGGGAAGTGAGGAATGCACATCATTGATATTTGAACGTCATGTCTATCTCAAATAATATTTCTATCCACATTGCCACTTGAACACACACACACACACGCACACACACACATGCACACACGCACAAAGTATGTGATTTAGGCTTCCAGTGAAGTTCAATATTTGTAACACTATAGTGCAATAAGAAATCATATTATTAAATGTAGGAAGTGTGCATGTGGGAAAGGTCAGTGCATATCCCTTTAGGAGGGGAGAATGTTGTAATATACTAGGTATTAAGATGTTTTAAAATTGTATTCTATAGTATACTGTCTATAGTGTGCGCTATATAATTTACATTACCGTATGCAACAGGGCAAAGCCAAACACACATTGCTCTGTGAAATCAAACATTTTGTGGCATACAGCATTGTTTTGGGATGCTGGGTTTTATTTTAATTTTACATTTAGAGTGCCTTATATTTGCTGCCTATTTTGAATAGCATTTCTTTAAGTTAGCCTTCATTTGTATTTAGTTCAGTTTGTTCATGTCTCTGTTATTATTTTCAAACATTTTAATACATGTAACAGACAATTTTGAAAAATATGCATTTCCAGTTTCTAATCAACTATGGATGGTAATAAATGATAACCCAAAACATGTAGGTAGTCAAGGCCCTTTATCTTTCCATATTTCCAATAACCGACCAGCCCACAAATTAAAAATCTATTTCTCGTTGGCTTTTCAAACCTATGGCGTCACTGATTATAGTGTTATCATTGCAGAGATGTAGCAGTACACTAGCAGCAGCTGACGTTAGCAGTGCTCATGCATCTTTTTTTTTTTATTTATTTTGGACCAAGTCCTGGACATTCGATTTTGTCAACGGAGTACTAAAGTCAAACCATTGCTTTCAGTGGGAGGGTTCATGTAAGGCTGGCAAGACTGAGCCCACAGGGTATATTTGAGAGTGACACTAGATTTTCTTCCTGGAAACAAAGAAATTTCTGTAAACAGCACAAAGTACTTTTTGAGACTCTTAGTAGGATGCCATTTACATTGATCCTGGTTTCCATCATGCCTTCTACCATTGTCAGTGCATGAGTATTACTGGAGTTCTTTCTTGAGGTTTCAAATAGGAGCAGTGGTATGACTTGTCAATGTGACCTCAACTTTTTTTCTTCTTCCACTTTACCCACTACTAGCAGAAAGAAAAAATATGAAAGACCAAACTCTAGCAAGCATTGTATTTGAGCACTTTTGTAAAGAAAACAAAAAACAAACAAAAAAAATTATATAAATATATATATATATATATATATATATGGAATAGGAGGCTACCTCAGAATGAGATTCTATAACTTGCATCTGAACCAGAGAAGAATGTGCACTATGTTTCTTTTTTCTTCTTCTTTCTTGATTTGTATATTAAAATAATTATTGAAGTGCCAGGTTAGTGGTGTGGTCATGTTCTTCAACTCAAATGAAGAGGATCAGAAAAACACTATAATCAAAAAAAAGCATCATTTTGAAAACATAGGCTAGGGAAAGATTCTTACACACTGGTTCTGTAAAAGGATCAGAGCATTCTCCCTAGCAGATTGTCTTGCAAGCTCCGAAGAAAGTGAGGGAATAAAAAAAAGAAAGCAGAGCCAATTTGTGAGGAAAACTGTTGTATAACTAAATACTCCTTTTAGTTTTTATGTTTCTTAAGATAACTGTTAGCATCATTGATGTGCATTCCACTTTCTGTACTCTTATATGCAGTCATTCTACAGTTAAATTAAATTGTGAGCATCTTTCTCTACATGCATCATACATTTCCAAGCTTAAAATTGGTTTCATCAGCATAACCAGTACGGTGCTATTATTTATGTTTGTATGTGTAGTTATGTCTAATTTTGTAATTAGTTGCAATGGGAAAAAAAACAACAAAAGATATAAAAATGATTTTTACAGAAGTTTAATTTAGCTGTTTTTAAAAAAAATTATTTGAGTGCTTAGATAGTATGGAGGATGGCTGGGAGAAGGAGTGGCCCTCTAGGGAGATTTGCACTTTCTATATATACCTTTGTACTATGCACTGCCCTATTGATTCTACACCCAATAATATTATAACTTGAACCCATCTGTAAGAAACTGCTTATAAAATCCACTTGTGTGTATTTAAATGACACAGAACATGTAAAAAGGAAAAAAAAAAGTTTGCAATGACTAAAAAAAAGCAACTGCTTTTTTTTTCCTTTTATTCTCTCTTTTTTTCTTTATTTTTCATTTTTTTATTATTTTCTTTTCCTTTTTTCCTTTTTTTTTTTTTTTTTTTTTTTTTTTTTTTCTTGGTGCCCTGATACTCCACAGATATCAGAAGGCTGCAGGTCTCATCATAACCATCTGTTACGTGGCTTTGCCATTCAAGCTTGGAGTGTCTTTACAAAGAAAATAAAAATTGTGTTCTTTGCTCTTGTTTTGGATGCATAGACTGAAAAATTTAAAAAATTACCTTGTAAAATGGCTTGTTAAAAAAGATACAATTACCTCTAATTAGTAGTACGCGTAAATGTTTTACAGAATGAAAGGCGTGCTTTTTATTTTCTTACTTCGTTACATTGGTGGCGAAAGAAAGTCTGTATGAAAATCAGTTCTTTGCTGACACAAGTTCCATTTGTTACAAATGAATTCTAATAAAATGTCAGTGTTATGCAGCCCTGGTCTTCTTTCTTAAGCAGCACTTTTGAAATCAAAACTTGTTTCGTCCCTCTTGGTGATAAAGGAGTTTAATTGGAACTACAAAGCAGTCATTAATCTTCTTAACTAGCAGCTGGACAGTGGAAAATGCATTCTTAGGTTAGCAAATATATATCATCTTTAGCAGCAAATTTTGAGCCAGCATAGGCAAACTCTTTGGCATAAGTCTCCGTAGCTTCATGAATTTAATTGAAATTATCAGACTCCACATGCCTCAGGAGTTCCCCTTTGTGCTTTAGAAGTGTATCATTACACGGGAAAAATAGACTTCTGTCCATTTGTCAGTGCAACCCAAATTGGGGAAAATATCCACATACTGGGTCAAATTGTGAATTTTTCAGTTCTGTGGATTTGGCAGGTTCTGGAGTAAATACAAAGTCACTATTCAGAACTCAGTTACTGAAATTGTGGCAAGCAGTTGTGACAGATTTTTGGCTCATTTCTGCCCTGCACTGCATATGCAGCCAGTGCAAACGTGGGTCTGTGAAGCTGCTATCCAAATTCTGTGCAAGTGTTTTCAAACACTTTGAAAAAAGTTTTAAATGAACATGCCATGCGTGTTGAGGCAATCTACAAGAGGCATGGCAATCTAGTCAAGGGAAGCATAAAAGAGTCTTGGTCTGTTTGCTTGTTTTGAAAGAGGGTAGGTTTTATGTCCAAGATTGATTTGTTAGTAAAGGAACACAGTCCATTAGTGATTAGTATTAAATACATATTAATAAATAATTCTCTGTGCTGGAAGGATGTGCAAAGACATAAATATTAGACTGAGTTCTAAGAACTTGTATTGTTCTTAGCTTAATTTCCATGTTAAGATGGTGATAATAGTGTAAATGTGAAGCCTTGGTATTCTTACAGAGTATTACTAATGTTTTTCCACTGACTTCTGTGGATTTTACAATTACTGCTTTGCAGGCTGCCTTTGGCTTGAACCTTTTTTGCATAGTCTGTGCAAGGTGGTTTAAAGCTGTGTTATGTAAGGGTTTCTTTAACTATCTGAGTGGCTTTAGATGGTGCCCTTTAATGTCAGCATTGACTTCTTTGGATTTTCCTGTTCTGTGCATCTAGCATGGGCCAAAATAAAGTGTGAAAATGAATATTGACAAAAAGATTCGGCTATGTATGGGTTAATCTATTTTAAGATAATGGGTTTTAACAACACTTGTTCTAATTCATGCTTTCTTCACAAAGAAAAAAAATATTTTTATGTCATATAATTTGAGACCAAGAAATGCTGTTGAGATGTGAAATTAACCCATCTAGAAGCAAAACAATACCTACAGACTTTCAAACAGAATAGCATTTGCACCTTTTCAATATTATACAAACACTTGAACCAAATTCCCAGAATCTTTGGTGTTCTTTCACTCTAGTATCTCTCAAAATGAGACAGTCAGTCCTGCTTCGAGAGCAAGAGAAGATTTCCACCTGTGTTTTGTATTTCTTTTCCCATTGTGCACTTCTTCCAGTCATTGTGACCTTAAAACAAAAGTGAGCTACTGGTAAATGTACAAGTGTTGAAAAAGTACTGATAAGGAAAGCGTAGACAGAAATCGTTAACTAACCAGAGTGTCCAGAACAGGTCAGTACCCAATGAAACCTAAAGAACTTTATAGCTATCACTGGTCAACAAAGAGAAAGAAAAATGCTGATAGAAATTGATGAGTCCTTTTTGCTTCAGATGTGAACATGGCCTTTTTTTGCTTTTGGGGGGGTTTTGTGTTTTTTCCCCTTACAACCAGCTTTATAGGCAGAATGATCTTTAATTACTTTTCACAGACTGGAATTTGGGAAGAAAATAAGCAACAAATTTGCTGATGTGTAAGCCAACCTACCAGTCAGTGATAAATTACTTCCTCTTCTATAAACCTTAACATGAGAAAAAAACCAAAAAAAAAAACCATATGTTGCCTGTGGAGCTGCTGAATTCTAAGAAATAGCCTTGCATTTTGAAACCTTGAAATTTAACATCTTCAGATAATCAAACTACAATAGCACTGGATCAAATTGGCAAAAATGTCTACAGAAGGTGCCAAATGGTATCAATATTACTTCACTGTAAAGAATATCTTCAAAGCAGTTTTAGAAATGTGAAATAGTGATACTTTTGTCATTCTGGCACTGTGCATGGGGAAATGAAATACTGATGGGGTATGAGGCTATGCACCTGCAGCAAATTTTTATTTTAAGACCTGTGGCAAATTTTAACTTAATTTTATGTTATTTTGTTTTGTTGTGTTCATTTTTTTATTCTATTTTTTTTGTTTATTTTATTTTATACTATTTTTTTTATTATTTTTAAGGAGGGACTATTAATGCTGTGCTACTGACTGCAACTATTTGGAAAGTTACTTAATTAAAAACCTGAAGGATTTGAATAATGTAGTTGTGCTGATATTCAAGAGAGAGTATTTTCTCTTTACACTGTCCTGTGTGTTTTAAACAAGCTTGTTCTGTTCTCCATTTCTGCTTATGAAGGGTACCGCAGTAGGATGCAGAATATTTTTCTATCACTAATGCAATGAGTCAAGGTGGGAGGAAACATCTGGCAACTAGCTTTCAGAGGAAAGCAGGATGATAACCTGCAAATAAGACATTGTAGTGAACAGAGATCATTTTGCATCTAAACTACAAATAGGATGCTTTTGAACCCAAAATGCATTCAGCAGAAGTCTTTATTATTGTAGCAGGAACAAGCAAACGACAATTCTTTATCAATAAAAGCAATTCATTTTATATTCAACAGCCTTATTGGATCTAGGATGTAAATCTTTGAAGTCAAAACAGCCTTAGAATGCTTTCCTTCTCTCAAAAACCAGAGAACAGAATCTACGTTTTTCTTCATTGGAAAAAATTATTGGAAAATACATGAGGATTACTATACTTCTGGTCTTCGAAAAGCCAGTTTGCTTGTGAAATCTGGTAGGATCTAAAGGACTTGAATAAGCCTAGCATTCTACTGTGGTAGGCACCTTACCAACATGCAACAAGTTCTCACCCATACAACAAAAGAAAACGAAACATCACCTATAGGCTGCAGGTAGCATTTCTGACTTCATGAGGCAAATCAGTGCAAGTAGCACTACCACTGCAAGGCATCTTGTTCAGAAACCATGGTTATTCAAAGTAAGCACACTAAAACCTACAAAAATCAGTGACTACTGTTGAGTAACCCACTGAACACAGATTTGGCAAAACAGCCACCTTTCACAGAAAACAGTAAAACCACGTATTTCTTTTCCATACACATAATATATTTACCAAGTTAATACAACATCCTCTCAGTAGTCCACACTTCCAAAGAATATTTTGCAAACATTTCACACAATGTGTTTGAACTCCTCTTATTCCATTTTCTCTGTAAAAGTTTCCTATTCCCTTTTCATCAAATGCTTATACTTGTTCTTTGACTGTTTCCTTTAAAACTTAGTTCCTGACAGTTTCAGCGAATTTGTACCCAATTTATAGCACCATGCAGAAAACTGGAATGGTAAACTAAGATCCAAACCTATGTACTCAGCCTGGAGGGAGCAATATATTCAGCTACAACATCATTCTTAACGATTATAGAATGTGGATGCAAAATACCTCTTACATAATGAGTAGACAGCAGCGCAGCCTTTCAGAATTGGATAAAGAGGAAATATGTGGACTCCTATTTAGCTCTAATGTAGATATAGGAAATACCATAATATTCCAAGTGGTATTTTGGTGTGGTTTGAGTTTCGTTGGTTGTGTGGGGGGTTGTTACCTTTTTTTTTTTTGCTTTTGCTTTTTCAAAAGACAGTATTTGGTTTTATTGAAAATCAATACAATTAAGGAGTGTCAATTTTTAGTGTACTGTTTTTGTCTGGGATGGAGTTTATTTTCTTCCAGGCAACACTTGTGGTGCTATGTTTTAGATTTGTGACCCAAACAGTGTTGATAACACAGCAATATTTTTAGTCATGGCTAAGCACTGTTTACACGGTGTCAAGGCCATTTCTGTTTCTCACTCTGCTCCACCAACAAGTAGGGTGGGTGCACACAGGAAGTTGGGAGGGGACATAGTTGAGACAGCTGCCCAAAGAGAAATGCCATATGATACCATTCTCAGCAATATAAGCTGGGGGAAAACAGGAGGAATGGGAGAAAGTTCAAAGTAATGGCATTTGTCTTCCCAAGTAACTATTATGCATGGTGTCCTTCTTTCCTGGAAAGGGCTAAAGGGCTAAGCTAAATTCCTGCTGGAGGGAATCAGTGATTTAATTCCTTATTTTACTTTGCTTGCACATGCAGCTTCCAATTTACCTATCAAACTATCTCTGTCTCGACCCTTGTTTCTCAAATTGTCCCATCTGATTCTCTCCCCATCCTACTGTAGGGTGGAATGAGCAAGCGGCTGTGTGGAGCTTAGCTGCTGGCCAGGGTTAACTCACATTTGGTTACTGATTTTTCTTGACAGTTATTACTTCCAAGGATGATATTGACCAGAAATTGTAACTGATGCTCCTGGGAAGCCTATTGCAGCAAAGCTTTCTCTGCAGACTATTGAAGGAGCAGGAGGAATACAACAGTGAAGCCCACCAGTTTCAAAATGGGAAACAGAATGCTGCTGTCAAGAAACAGTAGATAATAAAGTCTGAAGGATAAATAATGCAACAAATACATAAACGCTGTCAACATTTGTTGACTATAAGTCAATTTCTACAAATTCTGTAGAAAATACAGAAGTCTGCAAACACACCTCACAGATTATACCATTGGAACCTCATTTGAAACCTTGCTTTACATGTTACTCACATGAAAACACCACCAGCTAGTCTGTCTGGCTAGTTGAAGAAGTAATGCAAAGTGAAAGATCTCAAGGAAGAACTGAAAGGTCTGTCATCCTTCCTACATGCTACTTCTTAGGTCAAATGCATGTAGAAACACATTTAAGATAAGAGAATGCACTTCAAGGCTATTTTTAGTAAGT